GGTTTACTCTATGGAAGTCACTATGGACCGTACAAATAAGGCAAAAAAATAGTGAAGAAAATTCTCTGTGACATTGGTACTTTTCTGCACTAAATTTATAGGTGATTGAATCAACTTATTTTCCATTTGTCTTTGTTTTTGGGTATCATATGGTGGCCTACAAGAGGGGGATCCGTATTATGTCCTTAAAAAGGTTCTTTTAATTATATACATACGGTCTTTTTTTGACAAAAGATTAGTAAATGAATATAGGAAATTCTTGTGAGGTCATTTTCTTGTATTTATAAAGTAACTGGTTAGGAGATAATTCTTACTGAAAACGGAGAAAAGAAAAATACTATAAAATCAAGCAGAAAGTATATGTTCACATATATGAGCTTACATATTATATATTATAAACTAGTTATAAAATAATTATGGTGCATATTTGTTATATGGAAATATATCAAGTACAAGTTAATATGTAAATTTAGGTATACGATATGTTGATGTTACGCTTTTCAACACGTTTATTTTCTAGCTTTTACGCGTTTCAATTAAGTTATATTTTATATTATAATTTCTGAAAATAAAAATATAATAGTTGGATCCATATGAGGGATTTAGGAAACTGAAAAAAATAAAATATTAAACTTGTGCTTTTTCAGCAAAAATAACAAATGAAAAAAAAAATTGCTGGGCGAGTCTTTGCGGGGCATGGCGGGGTGGGTTGAAAATAGAAAAAACTGCTATGCGGGGCGAGTTAAAATTTTGCGGGTTAAGCTCAAACCCGTCCCGCCCCGCCCCATTGCCATTCCTAAATTCAGTGGAAAATTTAATCTGCAGATGTGAATGGCAAATGTATGTTTTGGCAATTGAGTTGCAAAATTTTTATGCATTGTGCTGTTAGTTGTTTTATTTGATTTAAAGAGCATTTGGGGGGTTGATAATTGGATGACAAAGTAGAAGGGAAAAGGTAGAAAATTTGCTCGAGGTAAACTAGTGTTTGATTATAGGAAAAAAGCTCATTATTGCCCCTGTACGATTGTAAATAGTATACGTTTGTCCTCCGTTTCATTTTACGTCCAAAATCCACCCTACCGTTAACAAAGTAAGTGGAACTGCCCCTAACCCTAACGGATGGCCAATGTGGCACTTGACCCTATTCCCTTTCTCTTTCTTTCTCCTTGAGTTACGACAAAAGCAGCGACCAAAACGGTGGAACCTCTATCACTGGAAAACTCCATCTCGTTGAAGGTCCATCCGAAACCCTTGGATCTGGTCGGATCTGAACGGATGTGACCGGTATGTCATTTGGTGGCCTTTCTTTTCTCTTAATCTGGCCGGAATACACGAACTACGGTGACTGCTAAGTTTCCGGCGCTCCTGTTGTTTTGGACGTCGCTCGTTAGCCTACTGCTGTGATTTTTCTGTTGTGAAATTGGTATGCTCCGTCGATTGCTTGTGATTGACCATGATTTGGTGTTGCTCACACTTTCACTGTTTCTCCATCTCTGGCCCATGAGTTTCTCGACTGCTCTTGTTTGTCAGATGCTACGTCTTTGATGGTTGAAATTGTTGTTACTAAATTTTCAATTGTGCTGTTGCTATAGTAGTTTAGACGTGCATTCTAATCTTGTGCTTAAATAAATTGTGGGTATAGTTTTTCCTAAGTCTCTATCTGATTGAATGATTATGAAAAAGCACAACGTTTTGAGGCCACCTGTGTTCGTCCTGGAGAATTTTGTGACCCTTTATGAAGTTGTTTGGATTCACTGGTGCTATCACTCATCTCTGTTTCAAGTTTGGAAATTCAGTCGTGAGAATCTCGAAACCCATTATGGTGTGTTCTTTGGGTGTCGAAAACTTGAAGTTGACAATTCGATTTGTTGATTATATATGGAGGAAATCAGCTGGGTGTTGTTGTTTGGAGCTTAAAATCGTGAATCAAACATTAAATTCGTGGATTTAAGTGAAGAACAAATTTGTACTCCATTTTTTGGGTTGCCGAAATTTGAAGTTGAAAAAAGACTCAAGAATCTGAAATTCTTGCTTGTTTCCTACTGAAATCGAGTGAAAAAAATAAAAATTGGAGCTTGAAACGGGAAGAATAACACTGATGTTTATAGATTTGGAAAAAAAAAATCACCATTAAAGGATTTGTAAGAATGCTTGAGAACATAAAATGGGTATTCTAATTTGCTGAAGTTTAAGCAAAGTGTTAGCTGGAATTTGTTGAGAATATTAATGTCGAGAAGTTATGGTTGCAACTTGAGTTAGTTTGATGAAAAACTTGGCCTAGTTTGGATTGAAAAATTTGAAGCAAAGATGAAGAACTCATGGAAGAAGAAGAAGTAGGGAGCCCGGAGGGGGTGGGGTTGGGGGGATATGTTTTAATTTTTTTTATTGAGTAAATAAGTGACTTGGCAGCTGACATGGAAAAAATGGAGTGGGTCAGGTGCCACATTGGCCATCCGTTAGGGTTAGGGGCAGTTCCGCTTACTTTGTTAACGGTAGGGTGGATTTTGGATGTAAAATGAAACGGAGGACAAACGTATACTATTTACAATAGTACAGGGGCAATACTGAACTTTTTCCCTTGATTATATTATCTCCTCTACTTGAGTAGCTGAGTCACTTATCTGCAAAAAGGAGTGACTGAGTCTTTCATTTGGTGCTCTTTAGATATGCTGCTAATCCTCTTGTTTCGGGATTTGGCCTTGCTTTCTTTTCTGGTATGTGCTTTTTGAAAACTGCAAACTCTTACTAGACCAAGTGCTTAGGTTCAATCCTTGTTTATTTTTGTTGTAGTTTAGAATGTTGAACTCAATCGCATTTGTTGTTGGAGTGGGACACTTTAGGGCTTGTCATTGTTATTGGCGAAGTGTTTTGAGTTGTATATAACAAGGACATTCTTGATGCGCGTATAGCACTGTGGATTGTGAATTTGGGTTTCTTGTATGTGGATAACCATAATCTGTTTGATGAGTTAATATTTTTGCCGTTTTCAAGCTTTCTTTGCTTACTTGTTCTCATTTTGGAATGGCCTGATGCATATTTTGGTCAACAGATGATCCAGATGCTCCTCATGTTCATCATCGCAATTTTCTGAAAGAGCATGTGGTCTTTAAGGAGGTATGTTATGTTTCTTTTCTACTCCTCCATACCTTCCTACTGAAATAGTACCTCTGAGGAATGTTTGCTGAAGTGTCTTGTTTCCCTTGTGGGTGTGGTAGGCTATAGCTATTAAAGATCCATTAGTCCTTTCAAAGATACATCAAACATACCGAGTTGGCTATCTGAAGGTGATACTTTTTTTTTTCTTTTTTACCTTTTAGACCATGTACTATCAATGAAACTTATAGTTTGTGGGACTAACATTCAGGATGTCATTTTGCCTCGAATGTTGGATGACGCAACAGTTGCAAACCTTAATTCCATAATCCATGCAAACAATGCAGTTGTAAGATTTGCTTTTGCTGTAGTTAAAATATTCTATCTTGTGGTTATTATGGTCTCCTGATTATTTGGTTTTGATACAGGTTGTATCTCTCTTAAAAGATGATAGCACCTTCATTCAGGATTTGTTTGGAAAGTTGAAGTCGCCTTCCACATCTGCAGAGTCAAAGAAAAATTTGGTAAAGAAAATTGTTGTTTCCTCTCTCTTTTATGCTTGCCTCTCTTGCATTGCAGCTATTAATTGATTTCTTTGTTCTTTTCTTAGAAGACATTTAATTGTTCACTATCTTGTCAGCTTCTGATAATTGCTTGTCCTTGTAGTCTTTGGATTCTTATCTTATTTTCTGTTGGGTCATCATTCTTTTATATTCTTTTTGCTTGCTGTTTTGTCAGTAATTGAATTGGTCAAACATAAGATTTGAGGGCAATCTTTTCCCTCTTTATACTCGTTGATAATGATAATACAGAGTAATTTCTTGTAACAATATGGAGAAACACTGCAATCAAGATAGTATACCACGTAAAGAACCTTACAAACAAACATGGTTCTCTACAAAGAGCACCCAAATCTTAAGTACCAACCTTAATCTTAAAGGCGCTCTCCTATAATCTGTTCAAAAGTAATTTCAATCTTTAATGCATTCTCGTTCCTTTCCCTCCATCATGTCCACATGACCGCTAGGGGTGCTACTTTCTGCTTTTATTCTACTTCTCTACGACTCCAAATATATTCCACACCATACACCATAACTTGTGTGCAACAGGACAATGACGTAACAAATTGTTGACACCATCTCCTGCTATCTTTCACATAAAGCACCAGCTTGTGTGTATCTTCCTCCTCGGCCTCTATTAGCACCTTGTTGGTGCTTTAGTAACCACATTCTATTAAAAACAAGAAAAATACACATTCTATCTCGACTATTTCACGGGGTACCTGCTATCTCCCACCAGCATAGGGTAAATCTGTCTACCAAGGCTTAGGCCAATGGGAAAAATTACCTAGTATTTTTTTGTCTCGGTGAGAATTACGTGCATTCCCCCCTCCTCCTGGAATTGATTGTGTCGAGCGCCTCTTCCCTCTTATTACCCATGGTATATCCAGTGTGTTTGAGAGCAAGAAGCGCAAAAAAGCGACAGGGGCTCGCCTCGCGTCAAAAGCGAAGCGCACGCTTCATTGAAGTGAAGCACAATTCTTAAAAAACATAATGTAAACCTTGCAAAGACACTATAAATAATCAAAAAGTTCAATTTAAAGACTTAAAAGTAGGTACCACCAAATCCTCCACAAACCATAGGACAAGCAAAATCAAAGCTACTAAATTACTAGAATCAACATCTTATTCTTCTACTCTTCTTGTTCTTCTTCAAGATTGTCAAAATCTTGAATTCCTCTATTATCTTCATATTGCTCGTCATCTTCTTCTTCCCCCTCCTCTTCCTCTTCATGATCACTTTCATCTTCATCAATTAGGGATAAGGATCGACTTGTAGTAGCCACACTTTTTCCTTTTCTAATCGAGATTGAACTTGAAGTATTCCCCCTTAAACCATAAGGATTCTCTCCAACTCCACTAGCATCCGCAACATCACTCCAAGTGAAATTAGAGTCGCCTTCAAATACTTCTTCATCTTCACAATTTTCGGGGACTCCGGTTAGCCACTCATTAGCCTCATCAATATTGTCCAAAAGAATTGGATCAATTAGATTGCGGTGGTTGTAGCGACGCCTTAATGCTCTATTGTATTTTATGAACACTAGATTATGGTGGCGTTTCAAGGTTAGTCGATTCCTCTTCTTTGTATGAATTTGCAAACAAGATGTGTCAACCAATTAGTAGGAGTTAGGACAATTGAGATATAATTTACTTTATCTCAAAACACGAAATCATTCTTTTTATTTCTCACGTGTTAAAAAACATTCCAGTTCCTTTCACATCCAGATGAGTTACAAGTTAAACTTAGAACTTTGATGGCGAAAGTCTGTAAATCTGGAGTCTCTGCACCATATTGGTCCCACCACTCAACTATAGAAGTTAAAAAAAATATTCAAGAGTTAATAAGTATAAAAAATACATTAAAAGTTAGAGCTATAAAATATAGAAGCACTTGGTCACCTGGCTACTTCGTCTTTCTTTGTTTAGTAGCCAGTCGTAGCTTAAAAAGTCCTTCAGCTGCCTTGTAAATAGCAAACTGATCTACTATCTTTTCTTGCAAGTCTTCATCTGAGGTCAACTTAATGACACACTAATGGAATCCTATCCACACTTCTCTAGCCAATGAATTATTCTTATACTGATCATAAAAGAGTGACGGGTTCAGAATAAGTCCAGCTGCATGCAAAGGTCGATGAAGTTGCTCCGTCCATCTTGAATCAATGATCTGAAAGACCTTTGCATATTTCTGCTCATCAGTGAATGATGCTTGAATAGCCTCCTTGGCCATATCCATAGCTTCATAGAGGTAGCCCATTGGTGGTTTTTGCTCCCCATCCACCAAACATAGTACTTTAACCAAAGGGCCACCAATTTTAAGAGCATGAAGGACATTATTCCAAAAAGAATAAGAAAGAATAATGCGTGCAACATCTTTCCCCCCAATTTCCTTTGCAAATTACTCTTGTTCCAGTCCTCTGAAATGAACAACTTTCTCAAATTGGCTTTTTGCAAGTGGATACTATGCAAAGTCAAGAAAGCAATGGCGAACTTTGTCTTGCCCGGTTTCACCAAATTTTTTTGTCTGGTGAATCTTTTCATCATATTCAATAACAAGGGCCGCTGAGCAATATAAGAATGTACCCTAACGCCCTGGCCAAAAACTGTAGAGAAGGGTTTTTCCTTGAAAATGTCCCTGAATATTAAGTTGATACAATGAGCCGCACATGGAGTCCAATAAACATTCGGGTACGCTCCTTGCACCATGCCACCCGCTTTCACATTTTCACTCTCATTATCAGTGACCACTTGAACAACTTTGCTCTGGCCAATCTTTTCAATGGTGTTCTGAAACAAGGTGAACATTTTGATGTGGTAAGTGGACGAGTCGCTAGCATCAATCGACTCAAGAAACAAACTTCCCTTGGGAGAATTCACCAACACATTAATAATCATTTTCCCATTTCTTGCCGTCCACTTATCCATCATAATGGAGCAGCCATACTTGTTCCACACAACTTTATGTTCCTCCACAATTTTATTAGTCTCCTCCACTTCCTTATTTAGATAAGGACCTCTGATTTCATGATAAGTGGGAGGCTTCATTCCAGGTCCATATTGACCAACGACCTCAATAAAGTCTTCAAAAGTGTCAGTATAGTTGACACAATTGAAGGGGAGCCCATCGTCATAGACCCATCGTGCAAAAGCTCTAACTGCACGATCCCTCAAAATGTCCTTAGCAATTTTTTGTACATCTTTTCCACCGCTCTTTGCTTCTAGCTTCTTTAGGAAATAGCAATCTACAGGACCTTTAGTCTTACTCGTACCCGTCAATCCATTGCTTAAAGAGATTGCATCTCTTCCCCTTTGTCACTTTCTTCAATATCATCATCATCATCATCAAGATTGGTCACAAATGGTTGATGACTTATTTGATTTTTTTGCTCCTTCTTCTTCTCAACAAAATTCTTTATTTCATCCCTCACCTCCGGTGGGCATTTCGGACAACTTGTGACGTTTCTATCGCCACCAATAAGATAAAATTTAAAGCGATAAATTCCACCTGTTGTAATCTTGTTACAAAACTTGCATACAACATTTGTATTATTCTTCTCATTAACTTTATCGCCATATCGCCAAGCCGAGTCTTTCTCTTTCGAACTTTGAGACATTTTTAAATCCCTATTAAGATATAAGAAAATACATAATCAAATAAACTGAAAATACATATAATATATATAATAATTAATTTTATAAACTGAAATACATATTAAAAAAATCAAATAAACTAAAATATATATATATATATATATATAATAATTAATTTTATAAACTGAAATACACATTAAAAAATCAAATAAANAGAAGAGAAGAAGAAGGAAGAAAGAAGGAAGGAAGAAGAAAGAAAAAAAGATAAAATACCTCAGGGTGAGCAGATGCCTGGACGGGAACAAGAAGAAGAAAGAAGAAAGAAAAAAAGGAGAAGAAGAAAAAGAAAGAAAAAAGAAAAAAAAGAAGAAAAATTACCTAGAGGTCTCTGGCGACTGAAACCCTAGCAGCAGCAATTGATTTTGGGAAGAAGAGAGAAATTGTCGTTCAATTTGGTCTTAGGGGTCTGTTTTGTAGAATAAAAGAACAGACCCAAGCTTTTTTTTTAAAAAAAACTGACCCCTCTGAACAGAAGCGAGTGCTTCTGCGCTTCACGCTTCAAAGTCGCTTCGCGCTTCATCTGGTCGAGTCGCCTCAGGCATGGAAAAGCGAGCAGCCATCGCTTTGCGTCGCTTCTTGCTTACAGCGACGAAGTGATCGCTTTTTAAAACACTGGGTATATCTTGGCTTATCACCCACCAAATCCCCATTCTTGTTATCGGTCATTTATTAACTAATGAATCCCAATGGTCTTCCATATATATCAGATCACTTCAGGATCTCATAATTTCTCTGGACTCATGTCTAGGTTACTAATCTTGAGCGGGGTGGGAGTGGGAATATCAGCTTGCATATAATAAATAACATAATAAATAACAGAGATTGTAAATACTCAATGTTAAGTTGCAAAAGACAAGTTCACTACATTGGACTTTTTGAATCATTCAATGGAAGCCGTGCGTGGTGTCATTTCTCTTTATATTAAAGACGTTTCAGTAGTTGCATCTTTTTCCTTTTTGGTGGGAGGGGGGGTGGTAAGGATCATTTTCCAGAATTTTTTGGGTTTATGTTTAAGCAGCAAGCTAAGGGATTTCTTTTTAGTTAGTTATTTTCCATTCGAATTGTTTAAAGCAAGTGGAATACGAAACTCTTGGTATCCTGGTCTAAGGGTGGCATGTGGGCCGGGCCCGTTCCTAAGTGGGCTTCGCGGGCTTCTTGTTGGAACCGGTCCGGGACCACGAACTAACGGTCCCGTGTTAAGTGGGCCGGTCCCGGGCCTAAGCGAGCCCAAGTGGGCCCAACAGATACTTTCTATTTTTTAAATTATTTTTATACAAGTTAGAGAAAAAAAATGGTAACAAAAATATCTAAGGCAATTCCTAGTAAATTATATTATAGGATTGTCACCTAAATTTTTTAATTCAAATTTAAAGACAAAAATATTGTAAAGAGATATTCAAAGCAATGCGTTATAATATATATACTATACTATACTATATATACAT